AATGATTTTCGAGTTTGATAGCTTAATATTTGCGTAATTTTGTGTACATCAAGACTTCACAATAAAATTGGGGGGTCAGCAGTTTTTCGCGATACATGCCAAAATGAGCGATTTTTTGCGAATTTTGAGATATTCATTTAAGAAACCATGCTGTTATGGATAAGCTGATGGATAAGTTATTATTAGCAGAGGTCAATCAGTACTTAAGTTAATTGAGTTATCAGGTGTATTTTTGCCCAATATTAAGTATATGATAGTTGTCAGATATATGTCTATGATATAAGTTTGAATACACAGGTAATATGTACGTAGTAGTTAAACCCACATATGTAAGCAAAATTTAGATACATATTTACACATTAAAAACTACAATGTTTCGAATTTTGTAATTATTTACAAAGTTTTATTTGTATAACCTGATTAATGAATTTGAAACACAAGCTGTGACGACGATAGTACATATGCACCTGTGTAAATAATTTAGGAAAATTAAAAAACTTCGAAATGAATCATCTACATAATCCTAATTCATTTCATGAATTCATACACAGAGTACGTACCTCTATATTTTGTGAGAATAAATTTTTGCAATATTTTCACAAACAAATTTTGTGATATTTTCACGGTAACTTATTTGCGATATTTTCACAATGAAATTTCTGCAATTTCCGTATTGCAATTTTTCGTAATAGATACATACTTATTTATATACAGATATCGACACTTTTATGACTGCACCGCTAATTTAACATGATAACTATCTCCTTTAAATAAAGGGGCATACTTACAATATCTAATTGCTACAGCCAGGAGGTTCGCTTTAATACAAAATACCCACCCGTTCACAATTATCTACTTACAGCAAAATACAAAAGGGATACATTTGCAAACTTAACTGTTTTCCGACAAAATGCACAATTTGTCTGTAGAAAACTCTTAAAAATAATGTTACCCTTTGGAAAAGTAGATGCAGACTGGATTTTGTATTAAGTAAACTGTAAATTTTTATGTACTAAGTCCAGAATTACTTACTTTGACTTGATAAAGAGTAGAGTTATTGTATATGTAGTTTACTTCATTTAAAATTCAGACCACATTTACTTTTCCGAAGGGCAACATCATTTTTAAGAGTGAATACCAGTTTCTTTCTGTCTGCACCAGGTAGGCAACCGGTGTTGCGTAGCTTTTACGCTTAACTGCACAAAACACGGGGTGCTACTTGTTATCAGATTGGCATTGAAATCTTCACTCGGTTGGCCTGATGCGTAAAAGTATGTACATACATACTTATATACCTCGCTGCTAGAGATCTAAGAAGCGTTGTACGCTAAGGATGCCAAAACGCTGAGATTAGGTAGATATTTTCCGGAAACTGAACAAAAATTTTGTAGTAAATGTTGCCGCAGGTGTGAAGAAATATCTACATTTTTCTGAATTTTTAGTACATATACTGCGTATACATATGTATCTATGCAGGAACCGAATTTATTTATGCATCTTGTTATTTATTTATATATGTATGTGGCATTATTGTAGCATTTTTATAAAATTTCTAAATACACTTATCAATAGGAAATATTAGCCTCATGAATCACCCACAAATCCATGCCGGATTATTGATCCCCTGCTTTGCAGAGTCCTGACGAAGCAAAGTACATAACACAGGAGTCACGAGATTAATATGCATACATATACGTACTCGTTTCCATTTCATCCATGCAAATATTCGCGAAAAGATAAATCCCAACATTACGCGTGGTACAATTTCAATTTCAATTTACCTTTATTCAAGTGTTAATCACATTAAGTCGATAAGACTGGTTTACAAGTTATAACACATTACAAAAGAAAAACTCTGTCTACACTAAATAAAATTAAAATCCCCTCATGAATTAAAATATTAATTCTGAAAAACATGTGACATTTAAATATTTGAAAAATAAAAATTAAGCGAACCGAATTATAACCAAAAAAACAAATTATATTTATGGGTAAACCATTTCAATGGGTTGTTGCTACACATATCAAATTAATTTCTTTCAATATAAGCAACACTCTGAATAAGCTATTCTGCTAATAAATCTATTTCAAGATGATTAGAACGATATATGTATATGCAATAAATACCACGTTATGTATAAATAATACAGCCCACCTCGCAAAAAATTGCATAATTTATTTGCACACTTAATTAATTTATGATTTGTGTCAATTTATCTTGGATGTAGAAAAAAATCCAGGTTTTACGGATTCACCCACTGGACTTACAGTTACTGGAGACCAATTCATCTACATACGTACATAAAACACTTCTTCATCTTCCAATAAATAAAAACACACCTAAATTTAAACTCACTTTTTCTCACTTAACAATTAAATTATTTAGTAAATTAATCTCCTTTCCTATCAAGCCGATTCATTCTCATTTTCGTTATTACACACAAAAAAACTGGGCTCAAAGTAATGGACCGATCGTAAGTAACATGTTACACGTTTCAACAGTCACGTGCGCCTCCTTTCCGTACTTATCCTAAGTTCAGTTCGTCAGCCTCGTGAAATATGTTCGGCCATGGAAAAAAATCATATCGTTAATTCAAACCTGTCAAGTTACACATCAAAGAACGAGACTTGCTCGCTTCCCCATCAGATAGATACTCGTTTTACGTAATAAAATCCACTTTTCCTTCACCCTTGACTAAATAACCTGCACTTTCAACAGGTGCAGGATGATGGGGAAGGGGACCTTGCAGAAAGGAATTGCACAAGGTAGGTATCGCATCTTGTCTATGTCAATATTATTTACGTATTTAGTATGTACACAAAATAATCGTAAATTTATATGCTACACAAGTAAAGGATAAGTTCGCTTCAAAATCCATGACATCCTTTATGCACGGCTCCCAACGCTCATACGTAATACAGAAATTTCTTCCCCAAATCTAACATAGCTTGAACTCAACGCTTTCCTCCCGTTATTGCATTTTACTCCTTTTTGAACGGATTCTTGTAGATGTTTAAACTTTTGGAATATGCTCATTTTTTACAGATCAAATTGGAAGCATTTACGTAAATTGAGAGATATTCCATTTCATGAATGTTTATGTACGTAAAAAAAGATTCTTTTTTATCCTGGGAAATTTTTTAGTTACATCAATCCCTCCGTGCTTTTAGTGGTAGTTCATTTTAGATTTCATTCGCTAATATTTTTATGAATTGTTGTAAATAGGTACATACATATTTACATACATGTAAATTAACTCCTAGTAATTTCAATTTCTAAAATATCTAGTAAAGTAGGACATGCTCCTCTACAACTCTACGTACACTTTGATGTCTTTAAATTATCCTCAATTTTTCTAGAAAATAGAAATACACGTGTACAGTATGAACCTTAAGTTCAACTCAATTAAAAAAATTGGTTCAATTCGTGCAGTTACATATTTGGCTTCTGGAAGATTTAATTTCGTGTATTCTCATTTCGTGGGAAAGTATTTTTTACGCGAAGTGTGGTCCCAGTTTGGATATATTTACTTAATACGTTATTCTACCAATCTGTTAATAATCGACTATAAAAAATTAATACACTTCAATTAAGACAAATAATACTACTTTAAGCATATACACAAGCATTATACATGAAATGGGAGCAATTTTAATTAAATTTTTCATTAATTAGATAGCTCATCTATTTAATAGTTTGTCACAAAAACTACTAATTTCGCACACCCCTCAAACTTTAACGTATCCACACGTGCATCATCCTTTCCTTTACCGTCATATGGAAATGGATCGTTCATTAATAATCTTTACATGAATTGCAAAATTTCAGATTTCATTCAACGGAACGTGCTTTGCCAGCCGTAAAAAGCAAAAATCTCTCGCCGACTTGCTGCCATTTCCGTTCAAACCTTAAAATTTATACCCGTTCTAATTTTATTGCTTACATATACCTAAAAATTGAACAGTTCTTTCCCCCTAAACATTTTAGTGGTTTGATTTGGTTTGGTTTTACTACTCTTGATTCGTAAATGATTATCTTGACGGGGTAAAATTGGCTGAAGCGAATCTCCCTTCCACATTTGGCTCCTGCAAATCAACTTTGTCTGCATATTTATTATTTCATATGCATACATACATGCATACACAAATTATTTAGTGCTTACATCCGGTCATCCTCCCACGAACCGAATCCCTCCTCAGAGTTAATCCGATATTAAAGCAAATAAGCTGTTTGTTGAAAAATTGTGGTGTGACTACTTTATGTACAAAGACCGTTTGTCTGTCCCTGTATAAGTAAAATAATCTGTAAAATGCGATGCATTTTCCTTCAATTTTAATTACTTGAATGTTATAATGTTCCTAAAAGTGTGGTGAAAAATTGTGGCGTGGTTACTTTATGTACTAGGACCGTCTGTCCGTCCGTGTTTAACTATACTAACATATAAAATAGAATGAAATTGATTTTCTTGCATGTTATGACAATCCTAAAATTACTGATAAAAATTGGAGAGTCGATACTTTATGTACATAGAGAATCTGTCCCTCTGTTTCTGACTAAACTAATCCTAAGTTCACTTATTTACATATGTGCGTGTCGTCGCACTTCTAAGGTTGGCACGTGGTAACCAGATGACAATATTTAACCCTTATGGGGCGGTCAAAGGTCCAAGTTAAAAAACATTCTGTTGGTAATTCGTCTTGATAAAAATTACTGTATTTTTAAATCGGAATGAATTAATTATTGAAATGTTGTTGTATGGGCTCTCGAAGACTGGGATTATTTTTATAGCAAGGTCAATATATATGACCTTACCTGACTTTAGGGTAGGGTCAGAGGTCAACTACATATGTACAAATATATACCTAACATGCATACCTGTAGCTCACTTTCTTTCTAAATATAGTAAACTACCACCACTTTGTTACCTCTGTTTTCACTAATCTAACTTTTGAGGAAAAGCTGTCTTAATTGGTGAGCAATTATGACTCTTTACCTTTGATCAGAGTTCAGTCTGCCCTGGTCTCTCTCACGGGGCACACGGGTCTCACAATCCTCCCTGAAAATGGACATCCTTAACGACATTTTGGTCTTCCTAGTTTTCTTCGTTTACAAAGTTTACGCGAAACTCACCCTCATCAATGTCTACCTGTTCTTTCCGCTGGTCAAGCGGTACATTCACTATAAACTGAGCCGCGTCGGAATCCAGGTGGATGGCGGGAGACCGTGTGATATTAAAATTTTAGACAATAAAGCCTACTACAGGATCGCGGAGGATTGGGATCTGGGCCTCATGGAGGGCTACATTCACGGCGACATTGAAATTAAGGACATGTTGGCGACGACGAGCACGATTTTTAGGACGAGAAGATTCAACGTAAGAAAGATAATGACATATTTCACGTCAGGTTTCGTAATTCCGTAGTGAAATAAACTTACGAACCAGGAACATGATCCTTCATTTTTATAAGTTCGTATGCAAAAATTATCTTTGAGAATTTCGTCAAAGGGCTCGTCAAAGTTTACATAGTTGTTTTAGTTTCGGACTTACGAAGGCTGACGTGACTTGCCTCAATGGTTTGACACAATTTTACCTCATTAAAATAGAAACATTTGTACAAATTCGTAGGTATTTTAGAAGTCAAATTTTGTTGACTTCTATTTTAAGAATAAACGAGGAAATTAATGCATAAAATTTTTGATCTATGTATGCATATACCGTTTGTTTGTATAAAGATTTTTTATGCATTCATTCATTCTCCTAATTTTATGGATGACTATCTCTAAATTGTAACTTGTCAAGAAAGGGATAAGGAAAAAAAATGAACGGATTTTTTACCCAATTTTATGCCATATGTAAATGTGTGCAAAAAACTGTTAAGAGTGGATGCATAATTATGCACATACCGTTCTGCAGCATAAAACCCGTTGAAATTTCCTATACAAATTTTTGTATCAAAACTCAATATGCATCAGGCTTTTATTGATTATTGCACAATTCCACGCAGTAGCTTCTGCTCGGGAAAATGCATTGATTTACAAATAGAGGAATAAATTACTTACCTGGAAGATAATCTATTTGAGTTAAATGTTTTCCATTGCAGGAAGTCGCTCACCCGCTGACCTTTATTTTCTCGTGGTTTAATTTACAAACTCGCAGGCGAGCGTGGGAAGCAGCTGTCGTGCATTATGACGGCGTCGGTAAGGAATTTTACTTGTTGAATATATTCACGTGCCAAGATTTGTAACTGTGCAACCTTCGTAAAGCTTATTCAGTTTACACATGTACTTCTGGGAAACTGTCGAGAAACTAAATTTTCATATTTTGCTGTAAATTTTTAAATTTCGTTTTTTTAATTTTACAAATTTTCCTTTTTTGACAAATTCTGTTTCAAGTTTTGTAAATTATCAACTTTTGTTGTTTACAATGTTCCAACTTTTTGCTGTTAGTTTATTGAACTTCAAATCAATGGTATTAATGTTCCCTAAAATTGATAATTAAATGTTAATTTTAATTTTCAAGTTGCACAGGTTTCCTAAATTTACTTGTTTGGGTTGACACGTTTTAAGTCTTTCAATAAAACGGAAACTCTGCAAATTAATTAAGCCTAGATATATCTCAAATAATTCGCAAATCAGAATTTTCGTTTTTTTACAAAGGTCTCGACATCTTTGAACCCATGATGGGTGAGCACATGCAATATTCCTGCGGTTACTGGAAGGACGCTACGAATCTGCATGACGCCCAGACCGCGAAACTTCACCTGATTGCGAAAAAATTAGGACTTCGAAAGGGCATGCGGCTCCTCGACTGTGGCTGTGGGTGGGGTGGACTTGCAAAATTCATGGCGAAAAATTATGGCGTCTCAGTCGTCGGCGTCACCATTTCGAAAGAGCAGAAACACTATGCGGACCAACTTTGCAAAGGTTACGATGTCGAAATACGACTCCAGGATTATAGAAAATTGAACGAAAAATTCGACGCGATCGTGAGCGTGGGTAAGGAGAAGCGTAATTTATTTAAAAATTTCTAAAATATTGAAGGAAAAATTGTTCACGCCGAGTTTTATAATTTAATTTTTGGCACAATTTTGAAAAATAGGGGGTCTAAACCAACGTAATGGCTTTCCGTGGTTTCTATGTTAGCTTCATTTGCGCAAAACGTGGGGACGAAAATCTAGGAAAGTTCCCACGGCATGTAATAAACAGACCTTAAACATCAAAAGTTCCTGGAAACTTTCGAAATTTTCTAAAAATTCTTCAAAATTCCACGTAATAGTTACTATTAAAATAATGAAGAAGTATAATTGATATTTTCACAAACAAAATACAAATATGATCCGGAATTCCCTTCAGAAATGCAACAATAATCTCACAAAGTTTATGTACAAGGTTACAATTCCTATAGGGAAATCTTGCATACATACTTTATTAACTGAAGAAAATAACAAAGTTTCCGTGTTCGACTTTCCTCAAGACAAATTTGCAACAAGTTATAAATTTCAGTAAGCGATAAACCTCATCAATAAATTAAAGATCTTATCGAACCAGGGAAATCTTGCATTCTTTAATACTAGTGCTTGATTTTTCGTAAAGTTTCCGTGTTTAACTTCCCATAAGTAAAGTTTGCCTTAATATTTAGTTATTCAATAAGTTTCATCAAAAAAGTAAATAACAGATCAAAATTTCAATCAAAAATATAATCCCCATTTTTTGCTTAGGCATGTTCGAGCACGTGGGTCCGCGCAACCATGACGAGTACTTTTCCACTATTTCGCGTTGTTTGAAGGACGACGGTCTCTTCCTCCTCCACGCGATGGGGGCGAGTCATCCCTCCACCCCCAAAAATTACATGTGGCTCCACAAATATATTTTCAGGAATGCGGCAGTCGCCCACAACCACGACGTGACGAGAGCAATCTTTGGCAAGTTTATTATCGAGGACTGGCACAATTTCGGGTAAAATTCTAACCTTACCTGTTCACATTCATTCAGGGAACGTCAAAATATTAGATACGTCATAAAAAATGTGGATTAGTGATTTGGGTCGCCTATCTTACGCATATTAAGCTTGACATGAGAACGATAGGGAACAGGAAGATTGGGTTAAAAATCTGTATTTTTTATGACGTTGTTTAATGAATACCGAATGAATTATGTTTTGAAAGTTTTTGAAGAAATGAATATTAATTAAATATTTATTCATTTCAAATTCAATAGGAATTAAGAACTTTAATCATTATTCGTTTTTCACTTTCTGCTTAATACATAAGCTTACTATCAATTGACAAATCTACTTAATAAGGGAAATTTGAGACAAAATGAACAAACAATGAATAGTCAACAATAATTGATATATGCATTTTCAAATTTTGAATGAATTAATAATGAATATTTTTTCTACTTTTTTAAGTAAATACATTTTGAATAAATCTTGGTTTTTTCAACAGGTACGACTATGGGCTCACGGCAGCCGCTTGGTACGAAGAATTCCTCAAGTTCTGGCCAAAGGTGGAGAAAAAATACGGAATTGAATTCTTTCGAAATTGGACCATCTTAATGAAAGCGGGAGAAGCGGGATACTGCACCAGGACTGTCCAGTTGTGGCAAATCGTCCTCTCAAAAGATGGCGTTGAAGGGGGTTACAGGTCCATACGATGAGTAAAAGCTGGCTTAGGTTTAAAAAATACTAAAATTAAATAGTAAATTATTCAATTAAATTTGTCTCAACTAAATCCGTGGCATAAATTTCTGTGGTAAATAAATAATAAATTATGTTGTAAAATACATAACAAAAAACGTTACAAAGGTCGCTTATTACTTCAAACAATTGTCAAACACAAGCAAGCTACACTCTTAAAATTTAGGTTACCCTTTGGACTTGTAACTACCCCAAAATTACAAATAAGTTGGGTGTACTAAATCCTGCGTAAATTTTATCAAGTTAGTCTTTGTCAATTTAAAGTTGATCAGGATTTTGTATAGTTTACTTAATACAGAATTAAGGGTTACTTTTCAAAAGGAAAACATAATTTTTTAGTGTGAATGAATAGAAATGTTAAAAGCATTCAAATAATTGTTCCCTGAAAATAACTACTATTGACTTACTAATGAATATTTTATTTAATTAATTGTCAAATTGTTTCGTTGCAATTAATTTATTTTTTTATTTTTTTTATTTTAATTTTTAAGCATGTTATGCATGCAAATACAACATTTCCCGAAGTTAGCCGTAACACGGAGTCTGTATCACATTTGACGTGAATTTCCCCATTTACCTGCCTACATCGATCATGACACTTTCACTCACTCACTTTTGCAATTTCACACCGCATAACAAAAAGAATCGGGAAACGAGTGGTGAAAGTGGGGATCAAACTTCTCACCCGGGTTCCGCTTTCTCTCCCCAAAGTGCCGATACTCAATTAGCTTGTTCCGATAGTCATGGCACCGGCATTCGTCCTGCATCTATAGGATTTCAATATCTCGCCATACGTAATTCCTCCATTTCTAATCCATGTCAATCCCCCAACGAAGAGAATTAGCCATTTTGTATAAGTTTTTTGAATTGTTTCTTTTACCAAAATGGTCTGGCCTTGTTGCTGCGTAAAGTTGCAGAGGGGTGTCAAATTCATCGCGATTTTATCCATGGTAACTAACGACAATTATTCTTATTAAAAATCACAGTAAAATTATCACAGTAAAAAATCTGGTAGAGTCACACCCTCATTCTATACTGATTTGGTACTAACTTCCTACCGAATTGGTAACATTTTGTTTCTTGGTTGCAAGGTTTTCATTGCTCACATTATATAATGGTAATCATCGTTGTTACCAATGCCAGTGGAGTCATTTGCGGCCAGTAGTGGTTTCATAGTGGGTTCGGTGTAGCAATTCTGTATTAACATAATACCAAGCGGTATTCATTGATGACTCCGCTAAAGTGGTATTCCTAATAATAAGTACTTAAAGTTTTAAAGTCATTAAAGTTTTATCTGACAAATAACAGATTTTTCGGTCAGGTATAATTTTAATTTCCATCGATAATAACGTTAATATCGGACTGCTTACGGTGTATGTAGCTGATTGTAATTAAAATTGGTAATTAACAACCTTAACATTGCAGGCACTGAACGGAATTCTGTGTTTGATGTCCGCAGCTGGAGCGATGACCCTTGTCATCATTTCGTATCGTACGAATGAAGAGTATACAAGGATGCAACTGGCCTCGAAAGGTACAATTTTAACGTTTATTATCATATGTGAATCCAATGGGTGTATTCACGCTAAGCTTTCTCCGGCTATTTCACCTTATTCAGGCAAGTCCACGTATTCAGCTCTCATTAATAAATTTCGCAAAACTGACATGGCTTAGAAACTAATTAAATTATGATTAATTTTTTTTCGTGCGTTTTTAAGTTATATTTAATTCAAAATTTCGCTACTTTTTTCCATGTTTTTCCAAAAATTGAAATATTTTAAAAATAAGGTTTTAAAAAGAGTCAAAAATTGTATTACAAGTTTATCCAACCAACAGTTATATGTTAGAAAGTATATCAACTCATCCTAGTTAATTTATAAATTATTTGTTAAATAAAGTGGAGTAAGACCATATCATGAGTACTCCTAATGCAACTTTTTTTACAATTTTTCAGAAATGATCGTTTTGGATTTTAGTGATTACGTCTTGAAGAATGTCATTCTGAAGTACGGATTTCGTCAATGGATCGTCTTCTTCAGCACCCTCAGCGTCCAGTTGGCTCTGCACCACTTGGCTGGTCGGCTGTTGAAGAGAGCTGTTGAAAAGGTACATAAATCTCTCATAATTTCATCTTTCATATACTTCTACTTCGTAATTTCATACACCTGTTAACGTAATCACGTCATCTTACTCACACTTGTGTTGGAAATTTAGTAACCATAAGAACTTTTAATTCACGAATTATTTTTTAAATAAATATTACAACATGCATATTATCAATATTTAGTATAATGTTTAATAATACCTTATAATAGGCAATTAAGAACAATCAATTAATTAATATATTAATTAGTAAGTACTTAATTAATATATTATAGTTACTAAATTAGTTAATAAGTACTTAATTAATATGTTATAGCAATACATTAATTAATAAGTACTTAATTAATTTATTATAATAATAATATATTTTATTCACGAGTTATTTTTAATTGACGAAATTTTAGACTTTAAATTTCAGCGATAATGTTTTTATGTAGGCATCTCACTAAAACTACCTAACAAATTTATCGTATATTGACACGTCTCAGAAGTAAAAGTTGCGTATCCCCTCGAATTGTGTGAGTTTAGCAATTTAAAAAAACGAGCTCCCCTGTTAAATCAGATATTATAATGAGCACGCACATTATAGATTAATAAAGCTTAACATATTTATTTAATATCAAATCTAGAAAAGCGTGAACATGTGCATCTGTTGGATGCTGCTTGACTTGGTCCTCTTCATTGTGGAAATTTTCGGCTGGTTGGCCATGTTTTCTCTCAAAATGCCAAACCTGATGTTCCTCTACCAACCAAAAACCCTGGTTCCATACATGCTCGTCCACCTGTATGAGTTCTTGGTGGTGAAGAAATTCATCAAACAAATCCACCGGGAACGCCGGATCCACGGTGACATCATGCTAACCGATATGAACTCCCGATTCGATTAGGAAACCTGAACATAATTGGTACCTGAGTGTGTACCTACTTATAGTAGACATAAAGAATATTAGTGCAACAAAATATATATACTTCTTGGGATAGCGTATGTATGTTTTTAAACCATTTATAAAATGATATTCAATTTTAATTATTTGTTGGAATTATATGTTTGAACTTGTGTAATTACTTTCAACAGCCGCTGAACCAAGGAGACAATAGAATTGTAAGATAGAAACACTCTTAAAAAATATAGCTCTTTTAGAACGTAAATGCATGTAGTTTCAGCTTTAAAAGATATAAACTAAATATATATGACATCCAAAGTAATGCCAACTTTATAACGAGTTAAATTTAGGGATCAATCCATTAAGAAACTATGATTTAATCGATGGCTATAGGATAAAAAACAAATTTTGTGTGAATCTTAACTGGGACTGCGCGCCAAAACTTCTGGAAAAACTTATTTTAGACATTTGAGCTTTTTATTTTACTCCGTATGAGGTATGTGGAATTATAATTCACCTAATATGCGAATTTCTGTTTAAAAAAAGTAAGACTATTTTTAGAGTGTTAAGGAGTTTAATCTTGTCCCAATCATATATAGTAAAATCTAATCTATGTTGAGACACTAGTCCCAACGGTTCAGCAGCCATTTCACATGTACCTCTGGATATAGGAGAATATTCGCGATGGAAATGGTGCTTCCAAAAATTACAATTTACCTGGAATTGGGACCTGACAATTCAAAAACAAATGAGTGTCTAAATATTAACATTAGTGATTGCTAAACAATTGTACCTATTTATCCAAGGCAAACAATGATCACGAGAAATGTTACAGCGACAATGAAATCAAAAATGGCACTAGATATTTATGCTGAAATTGTATTCAATGTATATTATCCATTTGTGTATCTATATGTTTGAATTAGTAATGCACGAACGTGTGTAGATTGTAAATATTTACGTTCGAAGCGAACATACATTACACTGTTTATCTAGTATATACAAACTATGTATTTAGCTTCACAGAGAATCTAATAAATATTATGTGTCCTACTTCTCATGCATAAATAAAGTCTTAAATATAATGCTACCATTTTTAAAGTAAATGCATACCACATTCAATATCAAACTTAATATTATTTACTTTTTATATTTAGAATGCAGATTGCGTCTACAGTTCAAAAGGTACATATATTTTTCAAAGTGTACCTACAATTGTATACGTCAATTTATAGATTGATAATTTATATTAATAGAAATTGTTCATCTTGGCATATATACATTATATATGTATCATTTTCAGTATTATTGCAATTGTGTACTAAAATTTTAATTATTATTATTTTGTTTACTTATTAGCTCACCCTGCGTAGCACGGGAGCTATTGAATTCCTCTTGTCCGTCCGTCTGTCCGTCTGTCCGTCCGTCTGTTAACGACCTTTTTGCATCAATTGATGCTAATTAAAATGTACCAGGTCCATTTTATTATAAATTAATAGCACCATTGGTGTCTAACAATTGGTAACACAAAATGATGCGAAATAATTGGGGGAAGCGATGTAAAACGCACCAATAGTGCAGAATATCCGGAAAAGATAATCCTACAATTTTGACATAAACTTTTCAAAGTTAAAAATAGCACTTGGTCGCTCATGTTGCGCAGGTGGTGCATACTCATTCGGTTTTTCTTCCTTTTTCCATTTATTTTGCACCCTTGGTGCAAGAATATATAAAAATTACGATCTCTTTTTTCGGCTTTTTCCACACCTTTGGTGCAAATTTATCTTTAAATCATTATGAACCGTATTTTGTCGCCTTATTTCTACACTATTGATGCAAAAAATTCAAAATTCTACATCTAGATATTCCGATTATAATACACCATTGGAACCAAATTATAGAGTTTCATACTTATTTTGTGCACTTATTCGGCACCATTGGTGAAAAATTATATGCATCCTAATTTATATTGCAGGGTGAGCTACTTCTAACGTTACTACGGTTTATTATTAGCTCACCCTGCGTAGCACGGGAGCTATTGAATTCCTCTTGTCCGTCCGTCCGTCCGTTGACGAGTTTTTTGCATCAATTGATGCTGATTAAAAATCCCCTTGTCCATTATAGACTTGTTTGGTCCCACCATTGGTATAGAACAATCCGAGCGCAAATGGTGCAAGTTAATTCAGCAAATAGATCGAGATAGGACTATAATTTTGGAATAAGTAGTACCGTTCGTACCGAGCAATTGGTTATTAAAAATGATGCGTAACAATTGGGCCATCTATTTCCCCCCAAAAATTAATGATGCATAACAATTGGGCCGTCTATTTCCCTTCCAAAATCATGTCCATTTGTTCGATTATTCTGCACTATTGACGCTAAAATATATACATTTGATAATACATAATTGGGAAAGGGATGCCCTATGCACCAATGTTGCAGAATGTCGGGAGAAAAAACCATACGATTTTTTCAAAGTTTTCAAAACTTTGTATCCCGTTGGTCGCTAATGTTGCACTAGTGGTGCAAACTAATTCCGGATTTTAAAAATATATTTTTCCGTTTATATTGCACTATTGGTGCAAGAATCTATGAGAGTGATAATCTATTTTGTCGGCTTATTCCGTACCTTTGGTGGAAAGTTATATGCAAATCATTATGACAGGGTGAGCTACTTGTAACGTTACTACGGTTTATTAATATTTTAAAGCATGTTTTATATATAGTGGAATTCGCTTAACGTCAAACCATGAACCACTTATTAAAAAACTTGCCCTACTTATCCTAATTCTACGGAAATTTCTATTCCGCCTTATCAAACTTCAACATCTCCTCGAAATCTTTATCCTCCCTAAAAATCCCCCACTTCATCCCGATTTCCTTAACTTTCTGAATTCTCGCCGCTCTCACATTCTTCCTTCCCTTCTCCACCACATCATAGTCAAGATTAGGAAAAACTGTCGAAATCCTCCCATAAAAATCGGTAATCTCGTCCTTCCACCCCCAACACTGACAATTAACATCTTCACACCCACACCTCCTCGTCATCAGCATACTCCCCACCTTGCCCCCCGTGGGGAACGAAACGTCCAAATTTCTCACCGTCTCACACGGATCGATCCCATCCGCCAAAAAGTTTTCACACAGTAAAAGCATGGTCGCTTCAAAATCCAAATGTTCTTCACACGGGTTTCTCTTCTCCCCAAACCACCCCGGAACCACATGCACCCTTAACTTCTCCAGGACCGGGAACTGTCTCGCATAAACTAACTTGACCGAATCCCGACCACTTTCAAACTCCAAGCACAGCTCGGGTCGAAACCAGCTTATCACCGGACTACGTCTCCCGTAAGTCATTCTTTGGTCTCGTGAAACTTCGAAAACCTATAACCGTGGGAGAATCGGGACTACGTGAGGGATAAGTTCCTGCGGGGCACAACTTTTCACGGAGGAGATGCAAACCTGCTCCAACTGTGGGGCTAGGAAACGAAATAGCTCGAACTGATTGATACAGTAATCATTACTGGGAACGTTGAACTCGTACCGCGTAACATTTTCAAAAGTTGAGTTAAGCTGTAGATTAAATTTGTAAAATTTCTTGATTTCCTCATTTCGCCCATCCTGATGCTCCAAACCCCAATATTTTTTCAATGATAACGCCCGCAGGTTGGGCAAGCTGATACCACTCTGCTCGAAAATCCCACCCGGCATGGCCGACATTTTTAGGTTAGCCACTTGCCGGAAAACCGCGAGAACTCGGGTGGTTAAAGAGACAATTTTACTGAATTTCTGCACCGTGAAAAACGGAATGTATAAAGAACCCATGTCCAAGGTCAAATTAGTCCGGGGTAGGTTTTTTCCCGGGTAGGACATATTTTCTGGAAATATGTCCTTCCATTTTAATTTGGATGAAAAAGCTGGCTCGTAATTGGCCATTCCTGGATGCAGTTGTAGCGATTTCAAATTTTTGAAGGATTCATTTTCCAGGATTTTGATCAAATTACACGCCACATGCCGGAAGTTGTTGTCTACTGGGAAATACAGGTATAATTTTGTCACGGTTTTGAATTTTGCTAAGTTAAATAGGTCCACTAAATTAACCACGTTGTTGGACTCCTGCGCACAGAATGTTAAAAAAAGTCCTTCAGTCCATCAAAATTTGAAAATTAATACTTCATCACTCTTAATTATTATTTTAATCTTAAAATAGTCTTATCAGATGAATTTGTCACGACATCTAATTCATTAAGTATAAAGGAAAAAACTAATAATGAATATTATTATTCGTTTAGGCTTCATAAATATGAAATAAATAAATATTCGCTCAATAATTTTGAAAAAAATCATGAAAATGAATTTTTCACAAAATCAAGCAATTTTTGTGAATTCGTCGAATGAATAATTTTTCATGGTCAACAATGAAAATAAATGAATGTAAACCGGTACCTCATGTGAAAATATTCTGACGTTTGAAGGGGACAAGTTTATCAAGGGGAGTAGAACGTCAGAGGGATCGGTGACATTGCGAAGGTTAATATCGACTGGATTTCGGACCAGGAGATGTTTTAGGGCTGCCCCCTCCCACGCGGGATTGACCATAGAGGCCGACTCAAGGTCTGAATTGGACAGGAATTCCATAATTTTGTGGATTATCTGAAAACCAAGGACACAAATTTTAAGGCGAGAATTGTTAAACTTCAAAAAATACATATTTATAATCACGAGTAGACGTTGCATAAATAGATTTTTAATCCAACTCTACCCATATTCAATCAATATCTTTAACTGCAAAATTCTATCATGCAATTTAAATTTAAATTTATCGTATATTTCGGTTTATGAGTTTTTTAACCAAATTCACCATCTCAATCGTTAAGATAAAGCTACCCAATTTTTCTTTATTACAAGAAAACTATCGATTTAAGAATTTACTAGGCATGAAAATTTGCATTTATCATGAAAATAACATTTTGGTATTTCAAGACTATTGATTTATAAATTTATCACAAAATCTCATCAAATTTTAGAAATTTGTAATTAAACAAATTGATTAAACAGTGGTACATAAAGTGAGATTCCAAATTCTCATACATATATCGGAATCATTCCTTCTTAATAAATATTTGAAAGTCTAGAAAACAATTAAAATACCTCGGGCAGGCTAGTAAGTAGGTGACAAGTCTTGGCAGAATTCTCCATTTTAATATGTATATAAACTTCAAAATAGGACGATTATAAATTGCATCAAAAATAACGGACACACTGAATAATAATGCAAATACAACTTCTCTTAAAACCCTTAAGCTTTGGTTTAAACCGAGGCGAGAAGAGGAATTATTCCATCAGGGAGTTAAATACTTTTATGCGAGAAGGAACGTTTCTTTAAGAATTTTGGGAAATACAAGGCCAACAATAACACTAAAAAGGGTCGAGCCCTTGCACTAATCCTGCATGAGGAACGTTCCTACATTAAGTGTTCAAAAAGGGTGGTATGAATGAGGTTTGGGTTTATCTTACTCAAGTTAAGCTTGACCTTAGTAAGATAGGGAAGGGGTGGGTATGTAGGTTGTTTTAAAAAAACAGCATTTTTTAAAACGTAATGTATGAACGTTCCCACTGGTCACTGGCTGGCTTTTGTGGGTTGATGCCATAAATACACCCTCAAATTAAATGAACTCACCACTTTCAAGTGGGCCAACGTCCATAAATATACGGAGGTTGACCCCTTTATATGTGTGAAAATCATATGTATACCAAACTTGATTTTGTACATAAATTTATCTACTTGCTTCGGGCAGGGAACAAATTAAGGGACAAATCTTGGTCCAATTCACCATTTCAATTTTTTAACCGGCTTTGAAAATCTTCCTTCAAAATTTTACTTACCCAGAGAAGAAAAGAGGGTGATAATCCACAACTAAATTTTAAGTGAATGAAGGGAAAGGACACATTTTTTCATTCTAGAAAAAAATAGGGATACAAATAACTGTCAAAACCATTAGGGTCGTTACTCCCTTCGATTGGGGCAAAGAAACCCATAAGATTTAGACAATGACTAAACTACCAGCCGGCAAAGAGTGCTAAAATCCCTTTTTCATATTAAGAGTAGAAAGCTTGCAAAGTTTATGCACGAAGCGTTTTTTTTTACAAAAAAATGTGAGACGTTCCTACGTAAATACTGTAATTTATCCTTAGCCTAATTGCCACCAAATTGGCCTCATTTTTTTGTATTCACGCATCAATTTTAAATAGATATGCATTACATACTGAAAGAATAAATGATTTATCGGTTCATTTATATATGTAAGCATGGATTTAAAAAATTGGAAAACCTTTTAAGCAATGAAAATCAAAGAGGGTTTGTTGCTTCCCCGAAATAAGAAATGTTTCTTATTTTTTATTAAGGCCCTTGTTACACCATCAAAGAATTTTTTCTTACCTTACCCTTATTCAATGTCTTTAAATTCAAAGTTTAAAATCCAATCAACTTCATGAGTTTTGAAATAAACTCAACTTTTGATACTTTAATGCAGAGCTAATTTTTGGCACTACAAACAAGTCGTTTTGAAAAAAATAACAAATTTATTAGCCATCTTTTAACAATAAATTTCTGCAAAAATGAATTTAATAATTTATTTCAAAACGACTTGTTTGTAGTACCAAAAATTAGATTTGCATTAAAGTATCAAACGCTGAATTTATCTCAAAACTCATTAAGTTGATTGGATTTTAAACTTTGAATTTAAATACATTAGATAGGGGAAAAGTGAGATTACGCAACAACCCGTCATCCAAGATATCTTAAATCTTCCTCTCTTTCATAAAACGGAAATTCTGTGCTGCCATTAATCTTAAGTACACGTATAAACGCAACAAGATATGCACATTTACAACTATATCTTTCATTTATTTGACTCCATATGATGTTAAATAACAATGAATGAGAATGAATTTCCTGTCACTTGAATCAAAATGAGAGAAAGATTTTGTTATTCCAGACGAATGAAAGAAATTTTAACAACTTTCATTTTTCACCCTATCCGTAATAAAATAAATGGCGTGAAGTATGAAATAAAGTTGAATGAAGGGAAATAAAATGAATTTGAAAAAAAAGAGTTTCGAATGAAAACTAAATATTTGAACATGTGTACACGTTTATAACGTAAGTCACATAGTCAACCTTACGACAACGTCACATCAAGATTAATACACTCTTAAAAATAATGTTATAAATAAATATACCCGTTGGAAAAGTGATTTATACAAAGAATGGAATGGATTTTGGGATTAAATAGTGCCAAGAAGAAACTACTCTCAATTTTAGCTTCGAAATAATTATGAAAGATATATTTATTTGAAAACGGTTCTTATGTAAAATGACAAAGAATCAAATACTATGTATAAGGTAAGAAAACGTCATGTCGCAGCTAAAGGAAAACAATACGTAAAGCGAAATTTGTTGTTTATTCGTCTCTTGCTTCGATATATGGAATGTCTAATAATTTTATTCTTGTTTCGTTTACCGGGACTAAAATACTTCATTAATTTTTATTACAAAACCGTGCAGCATTAATATACCTAATGTTTACTTAATAACATGGCACGTTATATGCCAAGACATATCTGCATCTATGTACGTACATACTCACCATAATACCTACACGTGTCAAGGACAAACCGCGTAGGTATCTAAATAATTTAAAAATTGGTCATAGAATAATATAATGATAATAATTTATTCTTAAAAGTCTAACAAGGCTCAAGGCCCATAAAATTACAAGTTATTACAATATTATGAGAGAATTTCTAAAGTAGGGAAGGCTATTTTCATGCATGTTTACATATATTTTTGGGTGAATTATTAATTACTTTATCCTGTTGAAGATTTATGTGACGTGTCATTTAAACTTTGCAGAAAGGTACAGGAATGTGCATAATTCCGAATAAAATTAGAACATTACTGGCAAACCCGATGTCAGGTTCAAATTCGAAATTTTTGTTTGTTATACTACGACTTTTGTATGACATTTTTCTAGAATATACTTAATAAATGATAATACTGTATTGCAATATTACAAAGCTCAACTTGTTCCTAAATTCAATGCAATTTACAAAGAAATATAATATTTTAGTCGATCATATGTTGTACTAAGTTGCAAGAAAATTTGTAAACGAAGTTCGGTTCCGAAGCAGACGCAAGATAATCCAAGGACAATACCACAGAGGACAAATATAGTAAAAATACTTCCGCTCATATCAACACGGTCAGCACCCTGGGGTTCATTCTCCATTAATTTTTTCTCCCGTCTAGCCGAATCCCTAGCCCATTGTTCCTTTTCCAATCTCCTCCAAATTCCAGATTCAATCATAGACTGAAAATACTGGGGAATACTGGATTTGTCCGGATCTACAAATAGCAGTCTTAGTAAAGAGATTCTTAAGAGGTCCCGGTTCCTTTGCCACCTCTTCCAGTAGTAGGTCTTGGATAGGTACATGAATTCTTGTGCCAGCTCCTTCGACCCTGCGCAGTACACAGTTTTTCCACATTTTAAAATTTCGATGGTTACTAAATAGTTCAGATATTTCTTTTTTGGACATGGTTTGGTTCCTTTCGCTCAAGTCGCTCAGTTCTCTTCCGTGTTTTGGACTTAGAAGGTACATTTCGGGAGATGTTGGGATGTCAAGATTGCCTACGCTCAATTCACGTTGAATCTTTTGAAAAACACCTAGTAAAAATTTAAAAAACTTGTTGGGGGGAAACCAGGCCGGGCCTTTAAAATATGAAGGGAATACGGACGGGGCAGAAAGGAGACGAAAACAATTTTCTGATTCTAGTGGATTCCTCAATTTTTTTGGCTTTTCAATCCCACCAGTTCCGTAGAAGAGATATATGTTGCTAACAACTTGGTACCAAAAATCTCGAACTACCGTCGAATTCGTCCAGTTCGTTACATTTCTGATCGACCCCGTCCCAATGTTCCTTTCACATATAATATCGTTCCAACTTTTTATTTCACTTCGTGGGAGAGTAGCGATTAAGTTCTCAATCATGATTCCATTATAGAAATTTGTGAAAACGACAGCAACTATGGCCCAAATCCCAAAGACGAGTCTATAATAGATCTTTTCCTCTAAGACGGACGGAACAGAATTAGTTTCCTCAAACAGGGTAGACAAAACGTACAACCATGGGGAGAACGATGTACTATCTCCTATAGTTGACGTGGCATCGACGTCCTTCCAGTACTTTATGTAGCCGGTCAAGCAACCGACAACCAAAACCAGGGAAATGAGAAAACCCATCCATAGGTGTGGTTGGAATGGGGTAAGATAAAACTCAAAAGTAATAAAAGATTCCGAGTAACATGTCAAAAATTCTTGACCGATAAAACCTAGTGGCAGGCTCTTTTTACCCCAAAGAAATTCAGCGGTGCTTCCAACTTCACCTATGTATGACGGGCGGTTGACTCCAGCTTTCGGAGCGTTGACACAGAGATGTATTTCCCCTGTGGAGAACTTCTCGAAATAGATATTCTTTCGTTGTGGTTGACGAATTTTTTGGTCGATCAAAAGGGTTGGTTGGTCTGTATGAGGATGCTGTTTTCATGGTCAGTCCACTTTCGAAATCGATTAACCAACAAGAGGCTGACTTTGAAGAACGAAGATCATCCAGATTTTTTGTGGGATGAATTTTCTTCTTGTGACAGTTCATTTGCTTTGTGGAAAATTTCTGCCACTCTATAAAGCTGCAGAGTTCGAATTCAGCGAAATTTTCTGAAGCGAATGCCAGAAAAAGGTTTAAGGCACCTTCGTAATTCACCCGTGAAAAATTATAGGTTTGGCCCAAGGCTACGGATGATCCTACCAAAATTAAGGTCGCGTCTTTGGACTCGATATATACCTTGTTGAAGCGTAAAGAATGCCGGTTTGCCGCTGCGAGCCAGTTCAAACCATTGACAGTGTACTCCCAATAGTTGAAAAATAGACTTATTCCACCCTTTCCAATCCGGAGCTGAAGAGTGTTCAGCGTAAAATTAGCCACTTCTCCGGATTCACGGAATCGATGCCATCCCTTGAAATTCTGCAAGAACGATGGCACGTAGATGATGGTTGTCGGATATCCGAAGGACGGAGAAAAACGGAGATGTTCTGACCCATTTAGAAAAAGCTGAACGTCACACTTTGGGCCCCCATCTAGGAATTTGGTCAGGGGAAATTCACCCTGATGGCCATAGCTATGGAAGTAGGACAACAGGGTCGTCATGAGCAGGCAGTAAGGGTTAAAATCGATTGACATGTTTCTATGAAAATGGAAAGTAATGTTATTGGATTTCCTTCCTTTCTGAGCCAAGTCTTACATAATTTTAACCTGTAAATATTTTAATTTTCTTAACCTGATCTTGATTTTACTACGAGGGTGTCAGTAATCGCCAAAGTTTAACAACTGGGGATCATCCATAATCAGTTTGCTTTAAAATAAGTAGAACATCAATACCAAAGGAAGGGTTCAGATACTGTCTTAGCAAGTAGGAGAATACTTTTCTGAAATAAATACTCGGTCCGAAGATATTTTGTTGCTACTATTTCGAAACGAATATCTACATAAAGTGAACTAGTTATTGCTTGGTGTCCTTCATCGATCCAAGGGTTTCCGGTAATTATACTTTTGTTTTGTTCATCGAGGCTGAAACTTCATTAATTTTTGTTAAGCGATCGTGTCTCATTAAAAGAACCAATCTTGTTTGATAACACAGCATGTTCAAACTCATACCTACTCGCCATATTACATACATGTGTCAAGCAGAAGCTGCTTACTACTGACTCAGAATTACTGCACCAAAAATTTGATTCCCGCTTCGTATCCCTACCATACTAATAGCATGGGAAGGATACCAGCGCGGGATGGAAAAGAAAAACTGAGTTGATATTACATTCGATTATAGGTCAAAATAAAATAAAAATGGTATCATGGGTGAATTTCCGAATTATGTTGGGCTATTGTGATGAATGTTTAATGTAATTTTTTTAGTGTATTATTTCAGTCATATCTACATAGGGACCGACAAGTAAGAATGCGATTTTTTTGAGTGGAGTAGGGGGGACGGCATCCTATTCTTCCAATGCCAATTATAACGTGGGTCTAAAAGTCATACGACGGGGTTAGGGGTTAAATCTCCCCGAAAATAGATCATACGACTTATTTACGTACGGCACCTTCCCAACGTTACTACCTTTATAAATGTATTCAAGAGCATAATATCTTTTCCTCATTTCAAAATGCATTTAATTTGCTGCATTCATTGTAACCTATTAAATTGTTTTATCTTTGTAAAGTTCGTGCGCAAAAGGGCAAATTAAAAGTAAATAGACGCCCGGGTTTTACAATAGCTATTATTATTTATGTATTAAAAAAATTCATTCAAGCACCCATCATCCCGATTTCTGACTGGACATTTTCATTCAGAGTCAGTCATTATCTATAAAATCCATTTCATTTCTCTTCATCATACTTCATTCCTTACTTCGCACTATGTATTAATTATAGGGTGAAAATGAAAGATTAAAAAAATCCATTCATTCACAATCATAGTCTAAACTCATTAGATCATTCAGTTATTTGCATGCAAATGGCAGGAACTTTCGCTTATTTTCACTCGCTATCATTGAGTGACATAATTAATCAAATGAATGACAGCGAACAGATATGGAGAAGAGTAGAGCAAAGTTTGGATTTTAGTAAATGAAATAAATACTCACTGACGAGATAATCTCAGAAAACTCGTGAGTAACACAATGTTTAAAGCTTGACGTGAACATCCCCATTATCTACCTGCGTTGATCACCACACCTTCACTCACACCACTGCTTCAAAAGAATTGTGACATTGGGAAGTGGGAAATGCGGGCATCAAATACCTTACCCGGTTTCTCCCCAAATGCTGAACTTTCATTACTTCTTCGTATCATTAGTACAGTTTACGAAGAAAAACTAATAGGCCCAGCTTCGTAAAAATCGTAACGCCATTTTGTCATGGCAACAATTTTCGTCATTAATTTCACGATACGAAAAGCACTATCTTTCTTTTCGAAGAAATAATGAATTCGCTTAAAAATTTTCAAGAGTATAAATTTTACAAAATTCTAATCGGTTTAACCATCAACATATTTAGTAAAACGTCAACCTCTGCGTGTTCTGGATACTGTACAATCTGACCCTTTTCATCTAGGAAATTACCGCGTGGTTGATCATGTTCGCATTCCAATGTACCTCCTGTTTCTCCGCGAGCCGAAAACCTTTATTTCAATCCTGCTCGGAAACCCGTTCTGGGCAGACATGTTCACATTCATTCATTTAATCATGAATGAATAATTTATTCATTCAATATTCAAAAATTGAATGAATATTGGATGAATATTTTGTTCTGATTTTTGAATTAATGAATATTGAATGGTTATCTGCGTAATTCGTGTGAATGAATTATGTATAAATATTTTTTTCTTTATTCATTTTTTACTCAATGCTTAATATATAGGGAAAGTTGGAAAATTAAAATAATACTGTGAATTTTAAATAAAATGAATAATGAAGGAATGGTCAGTAATGAATAAGTGTTGAATAATTAATGAATATTTTTTGCATATTACACTCAAAATAAGGTAGCAATGAATCATTACCATGCGGAATCACTATGTGTCTCTACCACTTCGGTTACGATTTGTCGTAGAAATGGTAATAATAAGTTCAGGGAAATTCAAATTTAATACATAATGGTATTCACTTCCTTAATATTTGGTAATGAATTTGAATTTCCCTGAACTTATTATTACCATTTCTACGACAAATCGTAACCGAAGTGGTAGAGACACATAGTGATTTCGCATGGTAATGATTCATTACTACCTTATTTTGAGCGTATGAATGAGTGAACAAGGAATTAATATTTTTTCAAGGCTTCGAATTGTTGAACTTTGAATGAATAAATATTTTTGAACATATATGGTTCTGGGTCGTTCATCAAGCAGATCGAAAGAGATCGCAGGAACGCGCGGCAAGCTCAAAATTACATCGTTGTGGTCGCGATGGCCGACAATTTACCTAATCTTGGAAACTCATTACCTGCTTGACATGGGGAACGTTTAAATATTACGTTGTCAAAAGCGGGAGGGAGGTTTTCGTCGCTGATCTTACTCGTGTTATGCTTGACATTGGTAGAATAGGGATGGTCAAGAATGGGGGATTTTTACTCAAATGTTTCAAAATCAACTGTTTAAAATTAGGCGAACACATAACTAATTACCTGATCTTGGGACCTGAGGGTTGGGAACGTCCATACGTTAAGTCATCCAAAATGTGGGTTGGTGGTGGTTTCGTGCTGCTAATCTGACTCTTGTCAAGCTAGGATAGGGAAGTGAGTAATAAATCTACTTTCCTTGTAGATGACGTGATACATGGACGTTCCCAATTAAAAAGACGTAGTAGAAGAATACCTAGTAAATGTGGCAACGTATTAATCAATGTTATACGATTAATTGACGTTTAAATAAAATATGTAAAGGAAGCTCTCTTCCTGACTAGAAAAGGCATAAAGAGGTTAAAACTAAGGAGGACAACCCTTCACCGACAGAAAATTAAAAGTAAAATTCGTAAATTTCCTGACCAGGGGTATGCCTTTAAAAAATCAAAATTTAAAAAAATTGAGTTTGCTATTAGATACGATAGGGCAACTATCGAAGATCACAAAAACGCTTGAATTATGAAAATCCAATCAAAATTGGATTTTTGGTGATTTTTTGAATTAACGAAAACAGGGTATTTTTCGTGTTTTTCGCACCTTTGAGTGGGTGTGGCGGTCGCAAATGGGGCCATGGAATGAAATCCTTCTTCAATTTTGCTAGACTCACCTAGGACTACAACATATCCAAAAGGCAGCAAGATCGATGGTTCTGTCAGTGAAGGGTTGTCCTCCTTAGTCACGTTTCTGCATCAAGCACTTTTTAAGCACAGGTGGGCACATCACTTTTAAGATTGTGTTTCCAACTGTTTGAGACGTTCTCATGAATAGTTACAGTAAATCATAAATAGTAATTTCCACATGTCTGTACTCATAGATTACGAGGCGTAGTATGCAGATTTACTATTATTTATGTGCACATATATGTATTTAAATATATTATCTAACAGAAATACAATTCCAAATTCCTACTGCCAAAACTTCTGCTAATCACAACCCAGTAAACCAGAATAAAAATTTATGTTTTTAACCTCTTTTAACTAGATCAAATTCGTCATATAATGTATTCAAAATATATCCCTAAGAGACCAAATAAACAAGTCATACATAACCTGTAAATATTCTTAAAAAATTCAGATTTCTGAAAATGTAAGTGTTTCGTTAGTACATACATAGGTATTTTGTGGAAAACTCAATAGTAAAAAACAGACTTTTTTTGATATTTTATTTATTTATTTAGCACAGCCTACTTACATAATAACGACTTTAGACTGAACTTTTAAGAAGGGTAGAATTATTCTTAAGGGGGTATGAGAATTATGAAGTTAACAAGCACGGTTTTATGGACAATGTGGGAGCTAGAAAATTTTTAGCTCATTAAAAAATCGTACATTTTACGATGGGCGAGTTCTGAAACTGCATTCTCATAAAATAAATTCATATCAACAAGTATATATTAGAATTACTAATATTATAATTAGTAGGTTTAATTTAGCATAAAATTACGTAACTCACAATGCGGAGGTGTGAGGTGGTTATCGCCGATATCCGCCAGACTAGTTTTAAATTGTTCACGTTCAAAAATAAGTAAACCCGTATTTTTTCGTTTTCTTGAATGGGCATGTTTGATGGAATTAAAAGAAGAAATTCAGCCAAACTCAGATTTTTTTTAAATGTTGTAATTTTTCGAATTTTAATGCGATTTCAAAAAATAAACCCATTTTTTGTTCAGAATTACTTCCCTGAAAACATAAAAATTCATTTTAAAAAACTTTTAATTTTCAAAAAATTATCGGTTTTTGGGTTTCTAAAAATTCAGAAATAGCATGGCAATATCAAATGTTTGAAATTCTTAAAAATGAATTTTGGCATTTTCAGGAATGTAATTCTGGACAAAAATTGGGTTTATTTTTTCAAATTGGGTTAAAATTCGAAAAGTTACAGCGTTTTTTAAAATCCGAATTTTGGCCGAATTTTTTTTTTTTGAAAATTCGGCCACGAACGTAAACATCCCCATTCAGGAAAACGCAAAAATACGGGTCAACTCATTTTTGAGCTTGCACAATTTAAAATCAGTCCGGTGGATATTTAAAAGGCTTCTTTCAAAACAATTTTGAACTTAATTTTCCCCAAATTTCTAACTTTCTATTTCTATTTAAATTATTGCGTCTATTTCTATTTATTGTCCTGTCTCGTAGCTCCCCAGCATCTTCTCAAAGTCACCCTCCTCCTTAAAAAGCCCCCACTTGACTCCCATCTCGGCAATCTTTTGAATCCTTGCCGCTCTCACATTTGCTCTTCCCATCTCCACCACATAATATTCAAGATTCGGAAAAATTGTGAAAATCCTCTCATAGAAATTGGGAACCTCCTCCTTCCACCCCCAACACGCACAATTAACATGTTTACACCCACACCGCTTTATCATTTCCATACTCCCCAAATTTCCCCCCTGGGGGAACGAAATGTCCAAATTTCTCACCGTCTCACACGGATCGATCCCATCCGCCAAAAAGTTTTCACACAGTAAAAGCATGGTCGCTTCAAAATCCAAATGTTCTTCACACGGGTTTCTCTTCTCCTCAAACCACCCCGGGACCACGTGCACCCTTAACTTCTCCAGGAGCGGGAACTGTATCGCATAAACTAATTTAACCGAATTCCCTTCACCACTTTCAAAACGCAAACAGAGCTCGGGTCGAAACCAGGTTTCCCATGCGTTACTTCTTTGGTCTCGCGAAACTTCGAAAACCTTTAACCGTGGGAGAACCGGGACCACGTGGATGGGAAGGCTTTTCGGGGTGCACCTTGTCACGGAAAAGATGCAAACTTGCTCCAGCTGGGGGGCGAGGAGACGAAACAAGTCGAACTGGTAGACACTGTCCACTGGGAGGACGTTAAACTCGTAGCGCGTCACGTTTTCAAAGTTTCCGCCAAGCGGTAATTTGAATCTGTAGAGCTGCACGACTTTATCATTTGCGGCGTAGTGAATCGCCAAACGGTCCCATTTTCTCAAGGATATCACCCTCAGTTGGGGCAAGGTGACACTTCTCAGGTCAAAAATCCCACCGGGGACGCCCGACATTTTGAGCTTGGCCACGTGCCGGAAATTCGAGAGAATTCGGGTCGTTAAGGAGACAATTTTACGTAATTTTGTCCCCGAGAAATACGGAATGTATAAATCACCCATGTCTAAGATTAAAATTGTCAGTTTTTTTCCCGGGTAGCACACATTTTCCGGAAAAACGTCCGTCCAGTTGACTTTGGAGGAATAGGCTTCCTGGTAATTCGCCATTGTCGGATGCAATTCCAAAGATTTCAAATTTTGGAAGGATTCATTTCCCAGGATTTTTACCAAATTACACGCCACGTGTCGCAAGTTGTTGTCCATGGGGAAATCGAGGTATAATTTTGTCACGGTTTTGAATTTTATCGAGTTAAATGGATCCACCAAGTTGTCCACGTTGTTGGATACCTGTTCAAAGAAATTTTTCATTCAAAATTCAACCAAAAATATCAACAAGAAATTCCACTGGTATTCATTCATTTTGAAAATAAATATTGATTCATTCTTCATTTTTATTACTAATTAAATCTCAAATTCGCCTGAGAAGTGTTTCGCAATATATCCCGTCTACTGCGTGTAACGCCAAAAATGAATAAAAATACAATTAGTTCATTCGTTCTTAATGATTATCTATAAAACTAGCATATAAGCCCGTCTCCCGCCGGGTGAAATTCTGTAACGCCGACAGAAGTGAAATGAATTTGACGCTTGGAATGCCGGGAAAATTAAAACTTTAAAAATAATCCTCAAACAATTTTAATGCAATGATATTACTAGGAAATACGTAACAATCTTGTATACTTTTTTCTATACATTTCTGTTATTAATAAGCCCACAAAGAGTATCTCACGTTCTGGCCTGTAATTTAATTTATTTTGAATTTTCGCACCATTGTAAACTTGACTTTCCGTACTTTCACTTCCGTTGCGGAACATTTACTTTCACTTCCGTTGCCAACAGACATTTCCAGCTTATAATATAGATGAATAAATATTTATTTAATATTAATTCATCTCAAAATTAAAAAAAAATATTCTCAAATTTGTTCGACACCTGTTTCACTCTCAATTGGAGTTCATGATAACTGTTCGCCTTGGTCCCCTTATGAAAAAAGATTCAGAGGTATGCAGGGGACAGGTTCTTCAGAGGGAGGAGTACATCGGAGGGGTCGGTGACGTCGAGAAGGTGAATGTCGATCGGATTTCTGACCAAGAGATGGTTAAGGGCTTCCTCCTCCCACGTGTGGTTGACCAGTGAGGCCGCTTCTAAGTCGGAACTGGGCAGGAATTCCATAATTTTGTGAATTACCTGAAAATAAAACAATATTTGAATTATTGAACTTCGAATAATTTAAAAGTCACATGCTTGGAAGGGCGATTTATAGTTCTACTTTACCCATATTGAGTTGATCTCATTAAATACCAATTTCTAAGGTGTCATCAATTTCATTAGTGTTGAAATAAATACAATTTTTATCATACCTTAAAGACTTTAAAGATTAAATTTACCTAAGATGTGATTTAGCGAACTTTAACCACCGGTTTTTTAACAAATTTGTCCCCAGGTACACTCTTAGAAATGGGGTTACGATTAGAACCAAAAATTAAATGTGTGACTCTACCGCCGTGGATATGAATTTGTCACCAACTGGTTATAGATAAATTTATTAGCTCTGGTGACAATTTAATACAAAGTTGGTGAAACTTAATTAGGTATGTAGTCCGTAACTATTGTAACCACTCGAGGATAAACTTATTACCACGGCGGTTGACTCACATACGTGGACTTATTGGCTAGAATCGTAACCCCATTTCTAAGACTGTACATACGATGCTTATTTCATAATTACTACTACATAACAGCATTTATAATTTCTTCACTGGTCGGTATAGGAAAAGCAACAAAAATTTAGGAAGAAAAATATTTCAAAAATCTACTTTTTACCATCGACTTTTCAAGAAAATATCAAAGAATTACTTACATTAAATTTGTATATTTAGATGTTTTCGATATTTTGACGCCAGAGTAATTTATGCATGAATTGTATTTAGTTCTAAATTCAATTTTATAACATGAAATTATTTTCAACCAACTACATTTTTTACCATTTGACTATACGAGACCACAAAACATATGTATTCAATTGCGCCATTGGTATTAAGAAATATTTCAGAATCAATTACATACTACTTGTATGATACAAGTCTATTATTATCTACATACCTCGGGCAGGTTAGAAATTAGGTGCCGAATCTTGGTAGAGTTTTCCATTTCGATTATTAGAATATGAACTTGAATATTATACTAGATTAATAATCTGAGATTATTGAAAATTGCGAATATTTGTGTACACTGAAAAGTTCAAGTATAAATTCAATCTTTAATTTTTAAAATCTTCCTCGTAACTTTATTCAACCAGAGGGAAGAACAGGAGAATCCCTTTAACAACTGAGTTTTAAGTGAATGAACGGAAAAGAACCCTTTTTACTTAAACAAAATATGGATAAAAATAATTCGTTGGGTCATTATGCCTTAGGGACCGTCCATAAATTACGTACCGGGAATGGGGACAGGGGGGTGGTCTACTTCTTCAATGATATCGCACTTACGTTGCACATGTTAAAGGGGGGTATAGAAAATCACGATTTTTGCGTTACGAAATTTACGGACGGCCCCTTGCCTGGGACAAATTTAGCCGATAAATAAAGTACCCACCATCAAGGAGTCGTAAAATCCACATTTTTCAAGAGAAAAAAGGACAAAAAGGTTGAGGGCTGGTAGCATTTCTATATCAAGCCCTTTTTCAACGAAGGTGTGACAAACATTCCTAACATACAAAATTTATTTTAGGCTGGGTTCCTCAAAATTTGTCACATTTTTTGTATATAAGAACGCATCAATTGTACGAATTATTGATAGGATGTATTAAAACCTGTTAAAAAATTATTTTCACTGAAAAGTAACTCATCCAGATTTCTGAATGAAAATTTCAATTCAGATTCAGTAATTGTCATTTTAATTCATTTCATTTCATTTCTTAATTAGCTCCATGTAGATAAATATTAAGCATACTAGAGTAGAGGCCCGTTCAAGAACGGGTTCTAGGCCCCCAGAGGGGGGTGTGCCCATAGCGCAAAATCCCTAAACTTTAAATAATTTCCAGTAGAGACTTTGTCCCTTGTCATAGCGCATACATGCATCAAAGTGTCCAAGTCATGCTGTATTTCAATTTCCCTGGTTACGGAACAATCTGATTTCCCCCTGTGGGAGTGGCTGGATAGCTAACCACTTAAATTCTCACGTTCCACGCTCCCATTAACTTCCACAAACCCCGTTGACTTCCACAAACCCCATTAACTTCCACAAACCCCGTTGACTTCCACAAACCCCGTTGACTTCCACAAACCCCATTAACTTACACAAACCCCGTTAACTTCCACAATCCCCTTTAACTTCTACAATTAACGCCAAGCTATTGACGGCGTTGGATTCAGCGTCAAAAATACATTCGAATTGATATGCGACATCACGAATAAGCAATATTTGAACCCCACGGTCACGGGAAGGTCACGGGGGCCTAGCAGGTCAAAACCATTGACGGCGTTGGATTCAGCGTCAAAAATACATTCGAACTGATATGCCACTCGCTGTGGGTGGAGTTTCTCAAACTAAAATAATTAATTAATAGTGTTTATCACGATCACTTATCATGATAACCACTATTGATGAATGATGTATACTGCTCACTCACTGTACATTTTCATGCACGCATTCATTCATGCAATGTGGTGGTGGTGGTGGCTCCGCTTTTTTCTTTGTCTCCTCTACTCCTCTCCTCATTTGCATAATTCTCCACAGGCAGACAGGGATCATACTAACGCTTTATTAGAGTGGATAGTGAAAACTTAAAGGAGTGAGAAATCCATTAATTCACGTTCATTCATCTGAAATGAGCGAAGCTTTCATTAATTTTCATTCATATGAAAAGAAATTCATAGTCATTCAGTATCAAACTGACTAATATGATTGAAAGTGAACAGGTATTTATACACACTTATTTTTAACTCCAACCTGTTCATAAATTTACACAACTTAAAATCCAGAGTGATACACTCTTAACAATAAAGTCACCAGTTTGAAAAGGAATTAGTTTTTTATAGAAATCAAACACTATCAAGCAAGTTTTTTTTTGAATAAGTGAATTTAAAAAAAAGTTGACACATGTACATATTTACTTTCTTAAAAACCCGATGTTAATCGTCACCAAACGGTGTGCATGTCACTTCACCGTGCGGTAATAATGTGTCTCACCTAATGGTGGTAAAATTAACACTAGCCAGTGACAATTTTCCCCCATGCGGGTAAGATTTATCACCAAGCGGTGAACAAGATTATCACCGTTTGGTTAAGGCACATATGCACACCGTTTGGTGACGATTAACACCGGGTTTTTTAGAGTGTCGTTCAAGTGGGAGAATTTTTCAAAATCGTAAAAATACGTTTTTTTCTGTATGTATAGCTTTGGTAATATGTACACTCAAAACAAAAATTTGTCAAATCATCACTGCCGATGTTAATACCTAGTACCCGCTAAAGTTCTGTTATAAGATTTCCCGGGTAAATTAAGCAGGCAAACCAATTTTTTAGAAAGTTGTACTATTTTTTATTGAAATCTCCATGCAATTGTCCGTCAGAAACCATGTTTCAAAAGTTTTTGTGACCCAAGGTGCCAAAATGATCGAGGGGTGAACATGGCCTGTTTCAATTTTTCAGCAACATTTTTGTGAACATAAAACATGGACAATTTTAAATTGTTCAATAAAAATCGGAATTGATTGCAAGATGGTCGAGCGTACCATAAAATGATGCAGTGACGCTGGCAGCGTCGACGACCGCAAAAGGAGTGGAAGGGAACAGCCAAAAAGGTCACCAAAATTCACCAAGGCGTGAAAAAACTGGATTCGCCAAAATCAATCAAGAAAATTTCCCTCGCAAATGAATGGATCAAGTAAAACCATGTCCCGGGCCCTTACACTGGACCTTGGACTTATCCCATCAAGACATGAGGAGAAATACTCCCTAACTACACGGCAAGGAAAAACAGGCCCGACAGAACCCGGGCGCTGATCATGCGGTACGCGTTTGAAAAATGGAAACGGATATTTTCAACAAATGAGCCAAACTTTATGGGTGATGCGAAATAAAATAGCAAAAATACCGTTTCTACACCCCACCAGTCTAGACTATACGTAAAAATTTTTAAAATGTTCATCGTACTTACCATTCCGGTTTTACGATTTTTTTATTGGACATAAGTTGGACTGGGTCGAAAAAGTGAATTTTCTTACTCTGGGGGTGAAATTTGGTATCAAAAATTATTTTTTTCAGTTTTCAAGTGAATTGTGACACCCATGAACCATAACCTGTTAAAAAAGAGCGAAATGACATTCAAGCAGGGCTCAGGTCCTGCTCTAGTGGTCAAGATGGTAATTGGGTGGTTGAAATCCCAAATTCCTGACTTCATTTCGGATCAAGAAAAAAATTCACTGTCGCAGAACCTTAGGCTTCTGAACTATGACATATTTTCCAAACTGGAGCTAGATGTGTGTGTTAAACTCCACACAAGTTTGGAATCCATAAAAAATTCAACTGTATAGAAATGAGCCCACTCTCCCCTGGAACGCGTGGGTACTCCGATCGAATGGTGGATACCAAGACTCCTGGCTCGTGTCGCCTTAAAAGATTGACATCTTGAAAAGTGAATAGTGTGTCTTATACGAAATTTCATTGGCTTTTCACTTATGTACTTATTTTTTCGAAATTCAATAAACTGGACTCGCTACAATGCGTGTTTCTTATAACAGTTCTTTTGCGGGTACTGGGTATATGACTTAACCGCTTTGGTTAAAATGTTTGCCCCGAGTTATGATGATTTTGATACGGGTAGTTATAATGCTATTACCGACTGAAGAATTTCGTTACTAATCTGAATAACAATTATTACCAAGGCAGTTAAGTCATATATTGACATCGGCGGTATTGATTTCACAAATTTTTGCTTTGAGTGCACGAATTTCTATCGATAGATTGGAATTATGTATACGGTTTGGGATTGGGATGTACCTGTGGTTTTGTTCACTACGACTAAAAACCTGGATTAACTTTTATTAAACGACCGTGCATCATTATAAAAACTAATCTTTTTTTGATAATCACATAGCATGTTCTACATACAGGGTGGTTTAAATGTCAGGGGCCACTCTCAGAGCCCCGCTTAAACCAAAAAAAATAGACTTAAACATAATCCGATTTTTTCCCGTCCCAGAAAAAAGTTTAAACTTTTTGCATTGCAAAAATCCGCTTAAAATCTAAGCTAATCCGAAATTGAGCCGGGGCGCTGCACACGGATTGAAATGGTGTCCAGAGAAAAACTTACGACTAAAACTAAGCCAAAAATGCTGCGACTGCTATTTAGTAGTCATAAGTCCGCATCTTTCCCTTTCTCTCACCTGTTAGCTCGCAAGTAAATATTTCATTTCTTTTAGTTTTACGAGGAATTAATTTTTTCTAGTGTTGGTTGCGTATGTGTATAAATTGCAAGTTAATTATCTCCGAGTGACGACCAAGTGCTTCATCCTTGAGTCTCCACCGGGCCTTGACTTGCAAATTATTGCAGTCGTGACTCCTTTGTATGGCGGTTCCTTTATTTATACCCGGTGCAATTAGAAGAAAAGTGTATAAAACAAGACAAACATTTGAGAAACTAAATGAAAGTGAAATAAGGGAACATTGTGGAGTGCCAGCTTGGGGTGCAAGAGAGCTTATCGAACTTTATGATCAGCTTGAAGGACAAATAAGTACCGCCGTCCCAGTCAATACAAAAGTGTTAGTGTTTCTTAGTCAATTAAGGTCAGGGTCGTTTCAGAGAATTGTGGGAGGGGTTTGTGGTGTCTCGCGATCAACTGTGAGTCGGATTATTGAGGAGTGCGCAAATTTTACATTAAACAATTTCGCAACATCTATTAATTTTCCTACTTCAGTCGCTGGTATAAATAAGATAAAGCAGGACTACTACGAAGTAGCTCATCTTCCTAATGTTGTTGGGGTTGTGGACGGTACGCACGTCCCAATAATTGCCCCAACCCGTTCACGAGCCAGTGTTTGTTAATCGGAAACAATATCATTCAATTAACTGCCAAGTAGTGACAAGTAGAGACTACAAAATATTGGACGTAGTTGCCCAGTGGCCAGGTAGTACACACGACTCCTTTATTTGGAGAAATAGCAGTGTTAAAAATAGATTATATAGCGGTGAATTTGGTAACGCATATTTTTTAGGTTAGTAAATTGATGGATTGGTCTTGACTCGTATAACCGTCGTGACTCAATCCTTTTTTAGCTGATAGCGGCTACGCTGCCGAATCAAAGCTTTTGGT